TGTTGAAGAGTGACATCAGTGAACTGGGGAACGAGAGGCTGGGGAACTGGAAGGAAGATGAATCCAGTGAGAGTACCTGAGAGCAATGAAGTAACTGCTCTCTCTCTCTTCGTATCTGAAATTGTCTTAAAATGTGGGCCACTCTTAAGGTTTTAAACTTAAATGGTAAATTCACGTGATCTGTGATAAATGAGGCTTCAAAGATCCTTAAAATTTGGAAAGTTAAGAGGAAAGACTATTTGGTAAGAACTTACATCATTTTGCTATGGTATCTGTAAAAATAGTCTTATTTTTTAAACATTACTCACACTTGGCAATATCTATTTAACATACTGATCAGGATAAGCCAGAGTAAAAAGGATAATTTCCAAACTATAGGGCCAAAGTAGAGTTTGTGTTTGTTTGTTTTTAAAGTAAAGTTGTTTTATCTGGCTCTCTAAATAGTTCTCTTATGGGAAATTTGCCAAACTCTTTAGTTTTATGCAACATAACCCAGCACAATGACCACACACTTATTATTAGTCATACATGTACCACACCAATACAGAAAAAAAGGTTAAATAAGCAGAGAGACAGTGTGTCCCCTGTTTCATACCTTGCAGGCATTTCAAAACGTAGGATGTCGTGGACAATGTTGAGCATGTATTTGCTCATTTCCATGGGAAGCTCCCCAATAGAAAGCAGGAGGTTTTTCACTTCCATGTAGGATGGGTTACTATTTAAAATGATAGCAGCTGCAGTAGTACGCACAGTCTTTTCATGAACTTTACGATTCTGGTGATATATTCTGTTCAAAGTCTTCTTCACCTGTTCATAAGATGTTCGAGCTAAGTTAGTGCACATTTAGATTTTTAGAATTGATATTGCAGCAGAAATTGTGAGTGTTTATAAAAATACGTGTGTGCTCTTACATTCCCAGGTTCTTTTGCAATTACTTGTTCTTGATTGACTAGTTCTGGCTAATGGACTGTGAAGACCATCAATGTGTGTTACTTGTGGACTGAGGCAGTTAAGAGTGGGTGTGCCTTCTCCATGTCTTTCTTCCACAATTGTGGTGAATTTAGGGCCCCATATTCCCTTATCCACACTGAGTGTAACATAAATGAGAAATAAAGATTTGTTAAACTGCCGAGATTTTGAGTTTTATTTGTTACTGCAGCATAGTCTGTTACCTGACTGATACAGACGTTTTTAAGAATACAATTGCTGTAGGGCAATGGGCTCTGGTGAAATACCTCAGAACCTCCTCCTTTTTTTAAATTTTAACAAAACAGTACACCAAAAATAAATTTGCTGTAATAATTGCATTCTGTGGCAATAAGTAATTTCACTGGTTAATAGCATTGCCTAAGAATATACAGTGTGTGGAATTCTGTACTAGACATTTATAAATACTTCCTTCTACTCCATTTCCCTCTGTGTTTTCCTATCTCCTTCTAATCTTGGACTTTCTCTCAGGTATGAAGTGGTTAAGTAACTCACCCAAGTACAAACAACTAGAAAGGGACAGAGCCAGAATGTATACCTAGGTGTGTCTGTCTCGAAAGCCTATGACTCTAACCATTATGCTTTATAGCCTACCAGCTTTGACACAAAACTGATGGGAAGGTGCTTAGCTGCAAACTGGAAGCACCATTCTCAGTAAGCAGTTTTTCTTGAGGTTTATAAACATTCAGTGGCCTAAAAAAATTTTTAGTTTATATGGCTTCCTGAAAATGCAGTTGTAGGAACAAACAAGGTGATACTTAAGCTAGGATATGTCAGTGTTGAAATATTTAGCAATATTTTAAAACTTATAGATGCAAAGACACTTCGGACAAGAATTTGTTTCTTAAAATAAGAGACTATGCTTTAATATTTATGCTTCAGGATATTGGACATTATCTATTATAAATGTGAGGCTGCTTCAGAACATACCAGTTTAAGAGTAATTTCTAAGCAGGAAATAATTGAAAAAAATTGAAGTGACTTGAGAGAAGTTGTACTTTACTCATGTTTAGGTTCTTTGGTGGTACAAACAGTTAAGTACTCGACTACTAGTCAATAGGTTGACGGTTTGAACCTACCCGGAGTTGCCTAGGAAGAAAAGGCTTCCCAAAAGGTCACAGCCTTGGAAACCCTGTAGAGTAGTTCTACTCTGACACACGTGAGGTGGCCATGAGTCGGAATTCACTGGTTGCAACCAACAACCACCACAAAAACAAAGTTACAAGTATTCTTGGGGTTTTACCTCATTGGTTATGAAAGGGGCATCGTATCTCTGGAGAGTGGTGGTAGCGATGTGACTGACTGGCCCCTCTCCTGCCTCTGCGTACTTCAGAAGCAGAGGGATGCCTTCTGGAAGCAGGGCGTTCTTCAGGGCCAGCAGGTACATTGTAGTGTCCTCTTTTTTCTCTGATTTTTCAAGTCCTCCCAGAATTAACTTCTTGGCTTTGACCACTGCCTAAAAAAATAACATAAT